AACCCCAACCCCAACCCCAACCCCAACCCCAACCCCAACCCCAACCCCAACCCCAACCCCAACCCCAACCCCAACCCCAACCCCAACCCCAACCCCAACCCCAACCCCAACCCCAACCCCAACCCCAACCCCAACCCCAACCCCAACCCCAACCCCAACCCCAACCCCAACCCCAACCCCAACCCCAACCCCAACCCCAACCCCAACCCCAACCCCAACCCCAACCCCAACCCCAACCCCAACCCCAACCCCAACCCCAACCCCAACCCCAACCCCAACCCCAACCCCAACCCCAACCCCAACCCCAACCCCAACCCCAACCCCAACCCCAACCCCAACCCCAACCCCAACCCCAACCCCAACCCCAACCCCAACCCCAACCCCAACCCCAACCCCAACCCCAACCCCAACCCCAACCCCAACCCCAACCCCAACCCCAACCCCAACCCCAACCCCAACCCCAACCCCAACCCCAATTAATTAATTAAAATTAATGTAAAAAAAGAATTGATAAGGATTTGATGTTTATTTAAAATTATAAACTTTAAATCTTAGTAAGTTAATTAATTAAACATTTAATGATAAATGTGGAAATTGGTAAGCAAAAAGTAATGTTTTAAAGATATTAATTAAATATCATAGATTAAAAACGAGCCAGCAAATTTATTAAAAAAAGTTAAATGTTTTTTTTTTTGCTGTAAATTATTAAAAAGTTAAATCATTCTAATGTTATTTAAGGAAATAAATAATACATTATTATTTTTAATATATTGATTTCGCAGAATAAATATTAAGATAAAAAGTGTGTGAGAGAATTATTTCTGATATTCATTCATTTTGTGAATGTCTCTGAATAGTATTAAGTAAAACTTGGATAATGATGATGAAAGTGAAACACTTGAATTATTCGGAGATCTTTACCAGCGCCCTGCCTCCATTAGGGACTTATCACTAAACTATCAGTATTTTTAATAATAATAATCTATTTATTTATTATTTTAAAAGATAGATAAAATAATTGCATATTTAACCAAAATAATATTAAAAAAGGAATAATGGCTTAGATGATGAGACATTAATAACATAGGTTTTAGAAAAGCTCGAGAATTTTTCATCTTTGGAATCATTTTCCTTATAGCTATAGTAATAGTTTAGTTTTTGTAGCAAAATAAATAAGCAATATAATAATACAAAATTAGATAAAATAAAATTAAAGAATAAGGACTGCATAGCATTGGCGAAGAACTTTAAAAAATGCATAATTTAAAAGAGCTAGAAGTTAATTTGAAGTATACAATTTTAGATTATTTATTTTTATTTATATATCTGCTGTCAGTATAAAAACAGTAAATATTTTTATAGGAATAATAATATAGGAAATAGTGGTTTAGATTCCCTTTTAAAAAAAATAAAATCAAAGAATTTAGATTATTTAGAGCTCATTTTATAGTAAATGGAATATTATCTTTAGGATATTTAAATGGAAAATTATTTTAACTAAATCAAGGAATTGTGGATTAAAAGACGAAGGTCTACCTGAAGTTTTTGATCGTTTTACATATAAAAACCATAGCATCAAAAACTTTAGGCTTTCTTTGCAGTAATTTTTAAAAATATTATTATAAATTTTTTATAGTTTTTTAGCATTAATAAATATTTGAGGATGAACAATTTATTTTCAATAAATAAAATAGCAATAATTATCTATCAGATTAAACCATAGACAGTATAACTTAGCATATTTGCAGAATGACTAATATCAATTAATTTATGTATTGTGTAGGGTAATAATTATATTAACAAAGTGATTTCAATTTATCTCTAATTTAGAATATAATAAAACAATATTTATTTTTAATAACAAATATTTTTGGATAAATAGAAAGAATAACATATCTAAAGAATCAGGCAGGTATATCATGAAATCACTACAAAATTTAAATAAATTGAAGGATCTTGAGCTATATTTCTAGTAAAAAATTTATAACTTTTCTTTATTTTAACTATAATTAATATTGATACATTTAAAAATTCCTTTAATTGAATTAAATTAAATGAATTAATAATTTTTCTATAATAATTGTAAAATAAATAGCAATAACTCAATCTAGAATACTGGGCTCATAAATGTATTAAAATGCATTGCCAATTTTCCATATTTACAAGAATTGACCATACATTTTCAGTAATTTATTATAATTTTAAGAAATATTATTAATGAAGCTTACAAAAATCTATTTAGAAAAGCATAAATTAGTGAAGGAGCAATTATTCCAGTATAGCACATTAAGCCTGATTTTCCTCTTCATACAATTGATTTTAATTTTTAGTATGATTGTTTATATATTATTAAAACAAAATAATTCATTTGAAAAAATATAATTAAAAAGTAAGAATGACATCAATGATGACACTATTATTTCAATAACTAAACATATATCGCAATTTAAATAATTATAAAGACTATCCTTGTCCCTGTTTAATAATAAAATTGGAGATTAAGGATTTGAGCAAATATCTTCCTTGTTATCTGAACTACCTCATTTATTCTATCTTTAAATTTATATTGGGTAATGATTAATTTTTATTTATTTAAAATAATTTAATCTTCTTTATAAATAGATAAAATGAAGTAACAGGAATGGGACTTGAGTAATTTGCTGATAATATCACCTCAATAAAAAGTCTTTAAAATTTTAATCTTTGGACAGTGTAAAATACATTTTAATTATTATTAATTTACAAATATTTCATATAAAATAAATATATAGTCCAAGCGAAATATAGCAAATAAGCTTTTGCTATTTAATTAACAAAATTTCAAAACATCCTCAAATTAGATCTTTAACTTTAGAAATAGGGTATGTGCTGTTTATCAAAGAAATATATTTGAATAAATAATAATCTTTTTAAAAAACTATAGGTTAGAAGATAAAGAAATTAGTGATTTACTAATTTAGTCAGTCCTCACATTACAAAATATTTATGAACTGAATATAGATCTTTTCAAGTAACCGCTTTTCACTTATTTCAAAAAAATTTATTTTTATAATATTTTTTAGCTTTTGTGAAGAAAGTTTAGCCTACTAAATAATTAAAAAATTACCTCTCCTTGTTTTAGCCTACGAATTAGATTACGAAGATTGAATTGAAACAAGTTTATTTAAATTAGAATTAAGATTTATTTATAATATCCTCAAAAATTTATTAAGTTTTTATTAAAAAAAATCAATAAATCAACTCACTTCTAAAAAAAACTAACTATCATATTAATGTAAATAGCATCTCTAAGTCTAATCAATATAAACTACTAAATTATGATAAAACATTTAAAAAATTATTTTAATACTCGTTAAATTTATATAGCATGTTACTCATTGTTGAGTTTTAATTTATTTTTCACAAATGACCACTTCCTTCAACTTAAATAATCTATTTAATTTTTCTCAATAAAATTTAAATCAATTTCCATAAATTTATTTTGCTATTATGCTTTAAAATATATTAATTTAGCCAAGTTTTATAATTTATATTTATCACTTTCGACATTAATTTTATGAATAATTTAAAATACATATTAAATATTTGGATCTATTAACAGATTTAAGTAGTTAGTTAAAAATATTAATTGAATATATAATTAAAATAATCAAAATTATCAAAAGTTTTGATTAGAATATTGTATAAAGACACACCAAGTTAAAAAATAAAATATTTTCTAAGAATATTTCAATAAATAAACCTATAAATTTATAAAATTTAATTAAGAGTAAAATTATTAAAATTGTCATAATATTTTACTATTAAAATTTCAAAAGTAAGTATCAAATAAATTAAAAAATTTATTAAAAATTAAATTTAATCTTTGTTAAATTAATTTATAAAATTATAAATTTTTCATAAATTTATTTTCTCAATTTATTGATTTTGATATAAAAAATTAATAATAAAATAATTTTTTTTATAGATTTTCCAACTTTAGAAATAATGAAAAATAGCACATTTATTTATAAAATCAAATATTAAAGCTTAATTTATAATTTAATTAGGATAATTTATTTAAAAACAAATTAGGAAAACTTAAGTAAAATTTTATCATTTAAAGATATAATAAAAAATTTTAGAAAATATTTAATAGAAAATAAAAAAAAATATTCATGTTTTTTTGAGTGATAAATATTTCTATTAAATTTGCTATTTATATTCAATTTATATTATTGTATTTAATTTAAATATATTTTTTTCACACATAGTTGACATATAATAATATAATTTTTTAAATAGAAAAATAATTTTAATATAAAGTTATTGTTATTTAGCTTTGTAAAGTCACTATTCAGCTGGTTTGATCCATATATGGTTTAAAATTTAAAATATACTTTTTTACTTTGGATAAAAATTAATAAAATCTTTTAATTATTTTGATATGACTTAATTTTTAGCTACTTAAGTGTAGAGTTAAAACATAAGAATCTCAATTTGGTGTAAATCCATATCAAAAGGGTTATAAGGTCTAGAAAATATATTTTTTTTCCATAGATTTAGGTAGCAAGTAGGTGTATTTGATATTGAGAATCCTTTAGGTTTAAATGAGCTTCCAAAAAATGACTGGTGATAGGAACTGGTTTAGAAGTCAATAATTTTTGCTATTATCTAATTATTAGGCAGAATATCAATTAATATATTTGATAATTTAATATCTCCATGAGTGATTTGATAATAGTGCATTATGGAAATTTAAAACAAAATTTATTATAATATTTGTTTCATTATGCTTTCTGTAATCTAGGGATTTACAAATAAGAACTATTCAAGATTCATTTACATTTTTTTCATTTAAATTATATCGCCTATCAAGAAATATTCAACAAATATGCTTTTTTTTCCTGTTATTTAAACTATTTTGTTTAGAGGGATAATAAAATTTTATATTATTTCTACTTCGTTTTAGTGGTATAAATTATTTTATTATTAAGAAAATTTATAGAAATAATTATCATCGCAAATAATTGATATATTTTATTATGATTCAACATCAGGTTCAGGTTAAAATTATTTTTAAAACTGAAATTAATTTTTTTATTTAGATGAAAAATCTATCATTTACTTTGGTAGTTTTTTAATCTTTTTACCAAAATATTATTTTTACTAATTAATGTATCCTTATATATAAGCATGCTATATAATTTTAATTGACTATTTATTAATATCAAATATAAACTAATAAATGAATAAATTGAGAAGTTTAATTTTTTAATAATTTTTTTAGTTATAAATACTTTTTTTGATAGAAATGATAATTATTTTTTTTATATTCTAAATTATCAAAAAATGAATTTTTTTAAAAAAATAGCGAATTTATATATAGCATGTCAAGAAAATTAATTAAAATTTGAATACAAAAGTTGTATCATATAAATAAAAAAAGAAAAATAAATGCTATTAATTGTTTATTTACTTTTAACTTTTTTACATAATTGATATAAAATCTGATAATTATTTTATAAAATAAACAATTTTTTGATAAAAATAAATTCCGCTCAACAAAAATGTAAAAAAGCAAAGCCTAAATATAGTAAAAATAAATAAAAATAGCATAAAATAAGGCCATTTTTAAATAATTTTTAATCAATTATTTATGATTAAAACATTGATGTTGGAGACAAATATCTTTATTTACAATTAATTAGTTAATTATGTCTACTGTATTTTTAATTAAATTTTTACTTTTGGTATTTTAACCAGAAATACTAATAATTTTTTTACGAGTTTTTATATTACATTAATAATTTTGCTTTTTTTTTATTATAGAATTTAGCATATTTTAAGTTATTTACCTAATGGGTTAATCAAGATAAATCAATAGAATTTTTTAACATCTTAACTATCAAAAATAATTAGCTATTAGTTCTAATTTAATTATTTGATTAATGGAAAATTTGATAAATATTTAAAAATATTATTTATTTCCTTTTGAATTTTCTTAAGTAAGTTTTATTTTGAGTCTATTATTAGCTATTTATTTCATGGACAAAAACAACTTAAATAAATAACATCTTTTAATATCATTACAATAGAAAGTTATTTACTAATTAAATTTTGATTTGTGGTGTTTTAATAAATAATGGTATTTAAGCTTTACATATTTTAATTTACATAATTAAAATTTATTTTTTTAAAATAAATTAATTTATTATATCATATGAATAAAGAAAGGAGTTTTATTGATAATTACAATTGCTCTCAAAATTTTTTGTTTAAAATTAAATTTATTCTAACAAATGATAAATAAAATGAATAAACATTTTTTATTTATATTTTTTTAATTTTTGAGAATCTATTAAAAATAATTGAATTATAATCATTAAATAAACAAATAAAGTAATAAAAATTTGCGTGTTTTTACACTTACCCAAAAATACATAAACCAATAATTGAAGTTTATTTTTAATTAAACATCTTAATGGTCATAACTAATATAAAATATAAAATAATTAATAAAAGACAATAGGAAGATGCTTTTACACATGGTCTATCTAGATTGTAATTTTTTTAAGTGATATAAAATCATTGGTACTAATTATTAAATTATACAAAGAGATTTTGCTAAAATATTAAGTTTTACAAAGTTTTTAATGTAATTGATAAGAAATGACTTCTAATAGTAATTAATAAATTTATTGTGTTAATTTGATAATTAGCTTTGAGTAATTTTGATATGATTAATAAAGTAGCTAGTCAAATTTTATTTTAGAATAATAGATATTTTATCTTATATTCATTATTTTAATTATTTTGCGTAAAATTAATAAAATAGAAGCAATTAATTAATTAATCATTAACTAAAGGATAATGATTATTGATATGAATTATATGTTAGGTTGTTATATATAATGCTATTAGGAGAATATGGTAAAGTACTATTCTGAATCAATTAAACATAGTTAAAATCGTATGGATATGAATAAGGATTATAAACTTAGTACTAGTATTAAATGGGCTGATAATAAATGTTTTAAGAAATAGGATTTTAAATCTATAGACTTTATTAGTAACCAAATAATTAATGCATGTTTTGTTTATTTTCAGATGTGTTTTCTTTTTAATCACAATCTTAACTTGCTTTAGATAATTTAAGAATTAAATCTCTAGCTTTTTCACTGCAATTTATCCATCTAAATAAAATTAATTACTCAATTTACAGTTCATAATTAATAAGAAGATCTAATAAAATTCTCAAATCAGAAGATATGTCTTTTAAGTGTGAAGACATGCGAGATAAAATTACCCCAAGCATATAGCAATCAGCTGAAAAGGGGTTGAAATGTGGATGATTTTAGTCTAATAAATTAATAGGATGGAATTTGTGAGAGTAGCAATAAGGCGTGTGGATTTTTTCATTTCGAGAACTGAGTATATCAGCACCACCAAAATCTGTTAAATAAATAAATAACTCCTTAGTTCTTTTGCATATCTTATACAGATAATTCTCTGGCTTTAGATCTCCATGATATATTTTGCATCTGTGTAAAATAAAAACCGGATAAATAATTTTAACAAATAACAGGCGCACTTCTTCTTCACTTAGATTGGGATTTTTATCTAAATAAGTTTGCAAGTCACCATCGTATTTTTTCATTTTAAATTCTTTTTTATTAAGATTCTTTGTATTTTTTTATGGATAAGCCTCAGCAAAAGGTTTATTCTTAAAGATTTTATTCAAAGGCTAGATGAAATTTAGTTAGATATTATTTTCTCTTTAAAATGATTTCTCACTGATGAAAACTTTGCTTATTGATTTTTTTCCTTTATGAATAATAAAGGCTTGGCCACCTTTTTTTAGAAGAGAATCTTTAGTCATTTTTATAATTTTTTTAATTAATAAATAATTATATTAAAAAATAAGCTCAGTCTGAAATTTAATAAAAATTAATCATCAAAACCAAAACATTTAAATACTAAATAACATACAAGATATTGCAAATATAAACAAAATAAATAAATAAATCATCTTTTTTTTTAGTGTAATTTTTATAGACTCTTCTTTTCATTTTATTTTGAAGCAGTTATTTACTCTTAAAACACAAAAAAATCTAATATTTATTTAAGTAAAAGAGAGATTAGCTTAGAATTTTCATAAATTTATTTCTAAAATAAAATACTTTTAATTTTTTTTGTAAAAGGCGGACTGCTCTTTTTGTTTCAAGATGGTTCTCCTAAAATAAAAGAATCATAAAAAAAACTTTTATTTTAATTTTTTCCTCTTTAATTACCCAATAACTTTATTTATTTAATGATTTCCTTCATCTGGTTATTCATCACCTTTCCGTCAGTGCACTTAAATATTTATAGAGAAATAAATGCTATTTCCAAACAAAAAGCAAAATAAAATACATCCTTTTATTAGTTAAAATGTAGTTATATAAAAGTCTAGATAAAATTTCTATTACTGTTTTCTTTTGTTTAGAAAAATTAAGTTCTTTCCAGTTGACAGCCTACCTCTGGTTAATTTTCAAATTCTTACCCTCTATTTTTATTAAAAAATGTTTTGAAGTTATCATAATTAATTAATTAATTAACTAGCTTTTACATGCTTTAATGAAAGGCGTAATTAAATAAATCAGTTGATTTTCAATTCAAGCTTACCCCCTTAAATATAGAAAAATATGTAATCATAAAATAATTAATTTTTATAGTTAACTACTTCCTATTCGATCAAAAAGCATACATTTAAAAGTCAAAAATGTAAGAAATGTCTATTTACAAGCTTTTTATAATGCATTTATTTATTAAAATAAAAATAGTATGTATATGAATTTTTATTTTACTCGTGATGCGTCCTATTTAAAAGATAGTTTAATCTACTAATTTTGATGTATTTAAATTTACTTCCCACTTTTTATATCAATCAATACATTCTAACTTGCTTAATCTTCAAATTAAATTTACTCCCTAATAATTAATTTATGTTTTTGTTAATAGCAAGAAATTATTGGAAAAACATTACAATCTATTTGTTTATTTTAGATTTTCATCAAAAAAAAGCTTTGCATTGAATTTTCAAAATGCATAATAGAAATATTTAATGAATCATGTGTCAAAAATTTTACATATTTCTGTAATATTTATTTATAAAGTTATTTTTATTTAGTTTTTTTTTTCAAATAATTACAAACTATAATTATTTTTTTTAAAAATTATTCAGTCATAATTATCGTCAATCACTTAGAATAATGTCTCAAAATCTTAATTTTTTACTTGCTAATTAACAAAAATAACTTAGAAATATTCAAAAATATTTAATTTACTGTCTGATTTTAATATTTTCGCCATTTTATATATAAAATTAGTAATGATTAACTATTGAATTCTCTTCAAAATAAATAAACCTCCTAAAGAGTTTAAGATTAATGATTAAGATTAATTTAGTCTAAATTATTACTTTAATTAATAGAAAAAAAGAAAAAAATTTACGATCTAATTAATTTTGTAAGTTAAATAAATTAATAAATTAATTTAGAGTTTTCTTCAAAAAAGCTATTTTCAACGATTTTTCTTATTTTCTTCTGGCAAGATCAAACATAAAATATAGCTTTTTATCAAAATCTTAAAAATATTACTCCCTTTTTACGATAGAATGTCATATGTTAAAATATCGTTTCTCAAATAAACTAGAATTAAATATTCTAGAATCGTTACCCACTGTTTATAAATTCAATCATATAAAGTTGATTTTTTAGTGAAAATATTTTTTATATACTTCAACATATTTGCAATGGTTGTTGTGGCACTATGTTTAATATAAATGAAATTTTACTACTATGAGGAAGCAAAAATAAATAATATATACATTTTGAACATGATACTCCATTTGATTTACTAAATTCTTTTTTATTTTTAAAATATCATTCACTATTTTATAAATAATCGAATAAACTTACATCTCTTTGCCTAACAAGTGATTGCTTTCCTGTAAAATATAAATATTACATAAAAAATTTGAGACTATTTTGATTTCTTGTAGCTTCAATTACGTGACTAAAAATCTCTAATCTTCTCTTCTATTAAAAAAATTCATGGATAATTTAATAGAGTTATTACTTCGGAAAAAAAAATATTTGAAAAACTGTAATGATTGATTTTTATCAAAAATGTATTGTTTGATATGTTTTTGATAGAAAATAATGAGGTTGAATAAACATTTTTCATACAATTAATTTTGATCAAATAAGTAAATACTTTTAAATTGACTAATCAAACAACTATTTAAAAATCTAAAAGTAATGCTTTTCAATAAAAGCAATTTGTTCAAAACAATAATTTAAATTGTTTGTGTGCTGAATACTAAGTGAAAATTACTTTCTAAATTTTGATTCATTGCATGCTGATTTAAAGTGCTATCAAGCAAAAAAACTAATTAGGCTAGTAAATTTTTTAATACTGACTAATGAAAATTGATTTGTTCGGCAATAAATTAGCATAAATTTAAACAAGATAAATTTTAGAGTTCTTAAAAAATAGACAGAAAAAATGAAATATAAATATCCCTCAATTAAAATTACTGATCAATTTACATTTCCATTTAAACTAATTTACTAATCTAGAATTTTTGCTTTTTAGAAAATCCATACTGCGGCTTAACAGCACAAAATTCAAATGATTCAGAAACAAACCAATGGATGGATACAGATTTTTCTTAATTAAATTGAATGTTCTTAATTTACCTTATATTCTCTTAATTTCATTTTCTTCTTCTTCTTTTTGTTGACGTAAAAATTCCTCGATTTCCTATCTTTTTTGAGTCTCTTGCCTCATTTGCTCTTCTAGTTCTTGCTATTTTAATAATTGCTATTCTTGAAGATACTACTACTATTTTAAATATTCATTTAGCTAATACTATGTTTATTATTCTTTAACCTTTTTTTACATTTATTCCAACATTTCTACGTAAGAAGGAAGTGGCCCAATATTCTTTATATTTAAAACTGCTTATGTCATTGTTTTCATTTCTTCCCAAATGCTATTAAGCCAATCTGATGTACCTTTTTTTACTTGTTTCTTGAGATTACCATCGCTATCTATAAATTTTGCCTTAATCCCATTAAACTTTAAATACTATTCTAGTTTCTTTACACTTTGTTAATAACCAGATATATTTGGGTTAGAACACATATTTGATATATCAACTATTATTTTTTTAGTTTGTGCACGAGTATTTTCTATTTCTATTTTCTTTCCATCTTCTTTTGATAAGATTAAAAAGTGCATAATTTATTCACTTAATTCCTTGCAATTTTGAGAAAGTATCATGAAATCTTAAGCTAATTTTTTGAAACTTTCTTCGATATCCTAATCACTCGGAATGCCTTAAGTTAAAATATTGTTAGATAAATTATTAAATGATCTATTTGGTGTATTGCTAGATATATTAGAGTTCATATTTATGCTGCTATTTAAATTTCCATTATTATTATTTACTCCTAAAGCATCTAATCTTTTAAAGTTACTAATAACCTCCTGTATTATTTCTTTGATGCTTTACACTCTATGGTTTCGATGTATGTTGTCTCTTTACTTTGAAACGCAAACCCTACAAATTATTTCCATTTTATTTTTGCATTTCTCATCAGTGCAAACAAACATCAAACTCTCCTCCTAATGATCTTTGCATTTAGGAATATTCTCAGGATCTATCTTACCTAATAATTATTTTTCCTAAAGTTATTGGCTTGTTGAATTGCTTCCTCCCATTTTTGTCAGAGTCTCTTTCTACCTTTGTAATAATATATTTGAATTTATCCCTATTCGCACCCTAAAATAAATTTACTTTATAAATTATTTATTTACTTACAGCTAGTTATTAAATAATGATTTTTGAAGTATTTTACTATAAACAAAACCTAATTAAATACCAGACTTTAAAATATGCAAATTTATGATATCATCCATTTAAATTTAAAATCTTAAACATACAATAAAAAAGGATTGAACTAGTGAATGGTAAATAGCAATTGAAATATTTACTATTACGAACTAATTATATCTATAAAGAATAAATACAATTAAAGAATATAACAAAAACTATCTATTTATCTATCTAATAATAAAATACAAAAAATAAAAAAATCAGCGTTTATTAGCTTCAAGATAATTTATATCTTTTTACTAATTTTCTTCTACTTAAGAAATTAATTTATCATTTGTAAGTAACTTCATATTTTTTAATAATAACTCAAAAAAAACTTAATTTTCATCTTAGTCTACTATATTATCACTAAAACCTAAGGATTATAAAATTTACTGTTCTTGTTTAATCATTTAGATCTTTACTAATTAGTCTTTGATTTGATATTTTTCTTGTAGAATGGCAAACTTTTTCTTTTTATTTGATAAAAATAATATAAAATTTTAGCTATTTTCAAGAAATATTTTGAATAAATTCTAAAACAATACCTTTAATCTTATTTACAGCTACTAATAAATCTATCTTTGGATATTTTATAAAAGAGCTTAGTTAAATTTTGTTAATTTCCCTACAGGTAAAATCTTTTACAAGTTTTTATATTCTAGAGGTCCAAGACATGACTCAATAACATAATCTTGGCATTCGCTAAACAAATCATAATAAATTAATTCATCCTCCTCGTATACTTTATTTTAAACCTCTTCGCTTTAATTATTAATCACTTTAGGATAGTTTGTATGAGATATCTATGGTTATATTTCTTAATTTTTACCATTTTTATTACTGTTTACAGTTTAAGATGTAGAAATCATGATCTATTATTAGTTTAGCATATTAATTAATTATAAAATAGGAATTAAATTTTCAAATAATAATTAAAAATATCTTGTTAGCTGTTTAAATTATGGCGGGTAATAAATAAATTAAGGGCACAAATTACTATTTTGTTTCTATTATATTGTATTATTAATTTAATATTGCAATTTTAAATAATTTAGAAAACTTTGGTAATTAATGTGTTTATCAAAAGATGATAAAATAAAATAATTAAATAAGTTTTATAAAAAAAGTTAAATTTGATATGTAATATAAATAAAGATTTATAATAATTATATAATTATTGAGAAGATATTAGTTTCTTAAGTAGTTTCTTTAATATTTTCAATGTACCAAAATTCCTATTTAATAAGTATTAAGTTTAAAGAAAGTATGCTTAAAATTAAATATAAATTATTCAATATTTATTTTATATACTAAGAATTTCTTCAATAATAAATAAAAATAAAATGAAAAGTATAATTTTATATATTTGTTACACGTTTAATACAATTAATTATCTTATTCAATTTACTAATATACCTGGCTTAACAAATAGAATCATCATAGTTACAATAGAAACGAAAATACCTGCAAAGTATTTTAACGCAGTTAAACCAAAAAAACTCCAAGCTGAAAAATCTAGGGCAGTTCCTTTTAGGAAATCACCAACATTTCTACCTTCTTTAGGTTTCTCAAGAATAGGGTCTTTATTTGGCTCATTTTATCCTTCACCTTTAATATAAAACAATTTATCAATAAATATACTCATTCATTAATAAATTTTTATTTTAAAATTCACTATCTTACCTACAGGATCTGACTCTGCTGCCTATTTATTTATAATCTTCATTGAAATTGATACACATCCTCTATCTTGTCCTGGGTAGTTAGGATGCTCAAATTTAAACTTAGTTGTTGGCATTTAAAATACTATACCCTCCTTCAGTTTTTTAAGAGCCCTATTTTGAATAACAAAAATATATAAAAAAAACTAAACCAAAACTAGATGAAAAATTTACTTTCTTAATGTGATAACAGTTTCACCTAAACTTTCATTCGAACCCACTGTAGAAAAATCTGAAACTTGTAATCTGAGACGAGGAAATGAGCAAGGAATAACTAGTGGAAAGACCATTCTTTTAACAAAAAGAAAATAAATTCAATTCAAGTAAGTAAGTAAGTAAGTAAGTAAGTAAGTAAGTAAGTAGTATTTTTATAAATAATACAATAAAAATTCATGAAGTAAATAAAAATAAAAATAATTATTTTTTTAGTGATTGAATGTCTTATAAAAAAGTATTTACCTGTAATTAAAAACACCGTTTCCATTCTCAGACCCAAAATGAACATCTGTTTCTTTTACTATTTCTTCTCCTTTAATGTTAGCTGTGGAATCTAAAGAAACTGTCAAAAATATATCTACTGTACTTTTTTATATTGGATTAGAAATAGGAATATCAAATGTTTCCCAAATAATTAGTCTAATTTCAAACTCCATAGGTTAGGGTTTTTCAATAGTAGAAGGTGGAATTATTCTTGCAACATCGAATGGGAAAGGTTCAAGGAAAAACTCAATCGTTCCTTGGCAAGTATTTTTTTCGGGATGTTTTAACTATTTAAATTTTGTTTTAAATTGAGTTAATAGTGATATTTGATTCATTAAATTTATTTTAATTTCATATTTTTAACTTGGTTTGGTTTGAAATTAATAAAATTTTGAATATCAGTCAACAAACAACAGTTAAATTGTTAAATTCATAAATTTTCTTTCCATTTAAATAAATTTGCTTTATCAACTTATAAAACAAGGTAATTTTTAAAATATACCTCTAAATATTCAACTGGAAGCTTTAGATTTCTATCAAGTGCTTCTATTTTTGTAATGAGTTCATTAATTTTGATTTCATAATTTTTCTTTTTGTCTCCTATTTCATAGTTATACTTATACTGCTCACACTTTTCTCTAAAATATTCTATGTATGTTTAATAAGCTATCCTTCTCCTTAGTTCTTTTTGGCCTTTGATTTTTCAATTTATAAAAATTAAAACTATACAATACATCAAATAAAAATATAAAATGTTCTTTATTTATTTTGAAACTTTAATTATTTTTTCAAAATACTCATTTATTAAATATCTAAATTGATACATAAATATACTAATTAAAATGACATTAATATTATATTTACCTAGAACTCTATCTTCTAGATCTATTTCAAACTAACCTATTAGGGCATCTATGGCGGTACCTTTATTCATTATTTTAACAACTAGATTCCAATCTTCAGGAAGAGTAGCATCCAACTCATACATTTTAAAGAATTCAGGATTAAGAGTATCGACAGCTATATTTGCATCATCTTTTATGTTTTTAATAATATTTTTACCTCTATTTTCACCATCTCCTACAATGACCCAAGGGTAAGACGAAGCAGAACAAACAGCAGCTTCTCCTATAAATATTTGAATTTTAATAAATAATTATGTAAGAAACCAAATATTAAACCTGCCAAAAGATGATATGCCTCTATTTTGGAAGCTTATGCACTAATATTTGTACAACGTAGTAAATAAACTCTTGTTTTAAGTTCAAATTGTTTTTGAAAGAATTCTAAAAATGTTTTTTTAAATATGTCAAATGGGAATCTTTAGTCGTCTCCTTCACATTCGTAACTTACAAGTGGTTTGTTTTCACCTAATTTTTAACTTCTACTAGTTTTTCTAGAACTTTTAAATGTATTAGACTTTATTTTAAAATATGATTTAAAAAATTATTTTGTTCCAAAAATATTACCTAAATGGAAGATCTCATGCTCAGACTCATAGAGCTTCTATTAGATTTATTTTTAAGAGTTTCTCTAATTTAGGTTTTTCTTTGTTTTATTATCTCTATATCATGCTCTAAAACTTTTAAATGAGCTTTTATTACTGCTGCTGTAGGAATGCCTATATCATGTGTCTATTAATATTTTGTTCATATTTAAGATTAAATGATTCAAATTAATATTAAAAGATTACATTGTTTCCGTACATATAAAGTCTGAATTTTTTATAAGGTAGACCTTTTTCTAACTAATCTTAAAGAGGTACCCTCACTATTTCTCTACCATAATCAAAATTTTCTTAAGCTTTTAAATACAAAAGAAATGTTGAAAAATACATTAAAATAATAATTCTAAATTTCTAAAATAAATTTATAGAAACATCAAAATCAAATTGAGCATTAATTAAACTCGTTTATTTTTCTAAATTTTCTGTTCATAGTTTAAAATAAATTTATTACCTCCATCATCACCTTATTCTAGGAAAATATTTTCCTTTACTAAATAATTCTTTAAATCTTCGATTTCTCTAAGTAATTGCTTTTCTCTGCCTTCATCTTTTTTTTTCATTTTTTTTAATTCAAAAACTAAATCAGCTAACTTTTAGATTTTTTGTTCTCTTTCAAGTTTAAAGTTTGCTTCATCAATCAATGACTATAAATAAATAAACTCATATTAGTATTAGCTTAATTGATTAACATTAATTTACTTTAGTAAACTCAACAGATGGGTTAAATTCAGCATTAAAAAAGGTTTGAGTACTTTCAAATAATTTTTATTATAATAATAACTTTCTTGCTGTAGATGAAGTAGATTTTTTACTAGTTTTTGTTTTACCAGTTGCACGACTCTTACTTTCACTCTTCAAATCAAATTCTTAGTTTTAAAAACAAAAAATTAAAAAATTATTTTCAAAATTTTGAACTAATTTAGTTTTTAAATATTTCTTCAACCATTACTAAATTGCAATCCAAGTATAGAATGATATAATAAAAAAGAAGTTTAAAACAACTCTAAAAAATAATTACACAAATAAATTATTTAAAAATTTAAGATTTTTATATATTCTTTATTATAAAACAATAAACTGATTTTCTTAAATTAAATCATAAGTATTTACTATAAAATCAATAAAAAAATTTTTTTATAATTGATTACTTATAATTTTTATGATATTTGATTGTATTTTTTTAGTTTTTTTAGTAAAATAGGTTTTTAGTTAAGAATTTTGTTTTTTTTTGGTAATTAAAAAAGTATTTTTAATTATTATTAAAATATATTAAAAATAATTAGATTTCTTACATGATTTTTAATCAGCTTTAGATAAGCTATCTAGATTTTGCAAATTTTTTAATGACTAAGGCTAATCATCTCCATCTAATTTATCTAAATTTTTATTGCTTAAAAGACGCCTTTTATCATCACTGTTCTAATTTTACTAATCTACTTCTTCTCTGAACTACTCAGTGAATATTAAATTTGCATCTCGATTATCATCAAAATCGTTTTCACGAGAATCTTATTCATCTTCATTATCCCCTTCATCATCATCATTGAATTAATTTTGTACAGCATCTTAATCTTCATCTTATAACAACATTAAATTTAATTTGCCTATCTCAAAAAATTCTATTTTAGCATTCTTAGTGCCAACATCTCCCCATGGAATATAATCAATTAAACTTATGCTGCTATGGTATCTGTACAAATAAATTATTTTAATTTTTAAATCAGAAATAAACAAAAATATTCTTATAATTTTGATACCTCACTGTTTTTATGGCAGCCGCTCTGTCTCTTATTTCAAGTTCTAAAATAGGGGTAAATTGTAAGTCTACTGGAATCTTGAGACATTCAGAAATATCATTTTCTAAGATTGTGCAAAAATTAATATTTTTTAAAGCTACTTTTTGCTATTCAGCAATCATAGTAAAAATCTTTCCTCCTATAGTTTTTTTCTACTCAGCCTATTCCTATTCTTCCTCATTATTTTTTAAGGTAATAATCTTCTCATAATAATAATTTCTAGTTAATTCCTTTCTTTGCTTTCTTTCCTCTAAGGTAATTACAAATTTTAAATCGGGTTGAGGTATACGAAATACAAATTCAGGATCCCTTATTCCTTCAGGTAAATTTCTTACTCCTATCAACGGGAATTTTACTTAAACATATTTAAAATCTTAGTCTTTTAGAATTTTATCATATTTAGGCTCATTAACATCATTATTTTGATTAAAAGTTTTTTCACTTCTTTATAACTAAAAGGCGGCTAATATTCTTCCATTAGATTTGCCTTCTTAAACAATGTGATAAAATTAATATTTAGGCTTAGGAGGTGGAATGTTTATTTGTTTATTATCAATTTTTACTTCACAAGCAACTGCTTTTATAGCAATTTGACCTATTTTAAAGTTAAAATTAAATTAATCCCGCGAAAAACATTTTATCTATCTTAAATTAAATAAATTTAATATTATATATATTAAAATACATAATTATTTTAATTAATGATAACATTTTAAAATAAATCACCTATGAATTCTTCATCTGAAGATTTTTTATTGTAAAAAGAAACTAAAATATTTGAAGAGAATTCTAATTTTTCATCAAGCTCTATTAGAAACTCGAGAGAATGATTCCAAATAACATTTTTACCCTTTCTTCCTGTAACAACATCAATGATACGAGTACTATTTTAATTTTATAAAATTTTTGTTAGTTTGTAATTCATTAAAATATATTATTCTTTTTACCCAATTTATAATTAAGCTTTTATACATGTATCATCTGAATGATGAGAAGGAAGTAAATCATAGCCTCCCCATAAATATCCTTTGAACTAGTACATTTATTTTAAACTCCTTTTAATTGGATGGCGAGTTTTTTATTTAGCTACCATTTCTGTTTTCAGTTCTACATTCATTAGTAAGTGAGAATGAACTTCTTAGATAGTTTTATATTTTACAGGTTTTAACTAGTACCATTTAGGTTACTCGTGCTCTAATTCTCTTGAAGTTGGCTTTATTCTGATATAAGCTTATCTTTTCATATCACCAACATCATAATCTAAAGTTTTTTTGTTTGGAGTTACTGAATAAAGGGATACAATAACATCAGGCTGCTGAGATTGATCAAACGGTATATCAATCTATTTTAGAATTGAAGAAAAATATAAACTATTAATCAAATAGGCAATATGTATTTCATAACATTTTTAATTTAATTATTAAAATTTCTAAATAAAAAATCATTATTACTTATAATTCATCCTTTATTTGTGATTTAGAATCTTTCCAAATGTACTAATTTAATTCTCTTGTTCTCGACGACTGTTAATTGTTTTTTTATTTTTCATGGCTATCTACTCTTTTTTAGCAAAGATTGCTTCGTATCACTTATCCACCAAAATTTATTTCTATCATAATGTATTAACCACAATCAAATGAACTCTAATTCATATTTAGTTTATTTATAAATTATTCAAAAAAAATTAAATAAATTTAAATTACTTATAATTCAAATGTATCACATCTGATAATATATTTTAGGATAGGAGGTTCTTTATATCCACCCAAAGACTATAAGCCTAATTCAGCTTTTTCATTAGGAGATAAAGATAAAGACAATAAAATTCTACCCATGTACATAGTACCTTCAACTTATTTAGTAAGCTTTTTTACAACTTCATCAATCATTCCTTCTGGTCTTTCTGGTAAGGGTACTCCATATAAATGAAACTTTATTTCATAATAGATAAATTAATAATAGATTACTCAAAAAGTGTTTTTTTAATATTTAATTCATTATATATATTAATTCATTTTTTAAATTTAAATCATTACCCATCTAAAACTCATGGTACCACCTCTTGAATGCAATGTATTTATATTGAACCAGTCATTTTCATTGGGTTTTTCTGGAATAGCTGCAATAAAATTATCAGATCTCAAAGTTCTCTTTATTTTAATAAACAATCATTTATAAATTTATTTTTTTAGATATCAATTTTACACTATCCCAAACTCTGATAACTATCTTATCATTATAAACTGGAAAGAAAACAGGAAAAACCATTTTAGTTTAAAAGTTCGGTTTTTACGAGTTTTTAACAGTCATTGTTCTTAAAACATTACTACCTACTCTGCATGCTATAAACCTATCATTTTATTGTCAAAAGATTATAAAAGCCTTAAAAATTAATTTACGAGTCACAAGTAGAACCAGTCAAAATTGGAAGGTCTTCTCCTTTTACAATTGAAACTAATAACTAATACTATTCTCTCTTGTTTAGAGGCATATTAATTGGCACTACAGGTTATTTCCAAATAGCTTTTTTCTTTCTCTACTCATCATTAAGCTCCTCATCTGGTATATTTAAAAAACTACATCCATCATCGTCATCTTCCTTTGCCTCGTTAATATCATGAACAGGAGGTCTATCTTCTGTACCTATTATATAGCAGGAAACAAGAAGGTATCCCTATTTTATATACGATTTATTAATTTTATAAAATTAATTTCTAAGTTTTTGAAATTTTATTGATTTTTAGTAAAAAGCAATTAATAACGATCAAAAACGGTTTAAATCCATTTTTTTAATATAAATAAGAAATTTGAATGATTTAAAAATTATAAATAGGTTTTGAACGAGTTTGCATTAATATTAAATAAAATAAATAAACATTCTTATTGTAAATATCAATAGATATGATTTGTATTTTAATTAGATAATTATATAAACCTATTATTATTCTTTTTAACTAAGTTTAAAATTGTTTTTTGAATTTTTTATCAAATTAATTTTTACTTAAGGCTCAATTCCTTGATCAGGGTGGATCAGAGTTAGCCAAGTCTTGAAAAATTCATGGTTATTACTTCTATAAAGAGTTGAAAGCCCTATTGACTGCTACCCAATTAAAGGGTTTGTAGCGAATTAATTTTAATCAATAACTTATAAAGTAATTTCTTGATTTTCTAGCTCAATTTGGTTTAAGAATAAATCTTTGAATGTGAAAGATTGGTTAAACACTACAGTTGAGGCATTGGATTTTGTATTTGTGACTTAAGGTGGAAGTTTGCCAACAAATATTTTAACATAAGGATCTGACCCATCAGCATCTTTAGCTATTAATCCTCTTGCTTCAATAATAGTCACTATTAAATTAAAAAAATGATTAAAAGCGAGAGATCTATGTAATTAAACAATTATGAAAAATAATGCAAATGAAAAAAACATGATTATGCTTTACCTTATACTTGGTATTCTTTTTTTTGATCATATTGAGCGTTTTAATTAATAAGTTTTCTAATATCTCCTAAATTAGATTTAATTTCATTAACACCTGATGCTATTTAAGCCATTTTTGATAAAGAATATTCAAAATTTATGTTGCTTAATTATTTATTATAAAACTTTTATCAAGTGAAAGTAAATAAATGTATATTTAATCCTATTTATTATTAAATTTTTATGTTCGAACTAGCTTTATATAATTATTTTAAAGCTTTTTCTGCCTAATTTATTAGCCTAAAAATTGTACAATTAAAGTTAGTTTTGATTATAATTAGATTTTGCAAATATTAAAAGTTGATTGAATACAATAGACTAATTTTTAAATATCAGTTAATTAATATCCCAATTTTAATATAAAAACAAAAAAATATTTGCATCTAGAATTAATATAAATCTTTAGTAAAATAATAAATAAAAACACTAAAAATCTATTTTATATTTAGCAAAATATATTTTGCATATATGATATTTATTTACTTGCCTAAATTATTTTTAAATTAAAGACTAATTGTAATATAAATCAGAAATAATACTATTTTTTTTGAAGTTTTTTACTGTTTATATTTTATTCATAAGCTGTATCCTTAAAGGTTTTTCAAAAACTAGATTATACTTTTAATTGAATGAAAACTATGTGATAAAAATATTGGTTAAGTACCTATTGAATCTAAAAGAATAGTTTATTTTTTTTTTAAACTATACAAAAGGAAATGACAGCAAAAAATATCTAACAGAGTCATCAATAAGCTTACTTTCCTTGATCAATTCACACATTGTATTTTAAAATTAATTTTATTTAAATGATATTATTTTATAATACTCTAAATAAAAATTGTAATTATTATGAGGGCAAGAATAATATAATTCCTATTTAATATTTCTTATTTATTTATATTTAGTAATAGTAAATGGTTTATTATATTTTAAAGTTTGATTAAATTAATGGTTATAATATTTTTTTAAAATAGAGATTAAATCGAGAATAATTGATATTTATGAAAAAAAATTTTCTAATTAAAATTTTGCGATTTAATAAACTTACTATTTTTAAAAACATTTCATGATTCTACTTTTGTCATATTTTAAATACAATTAATTAAAAAATTTTTAAAGAACATCATTTTAGAAAGTAGGTTCTTACTAAATAACAATCATAAATAATCTCTATCTAAATATACAGAAGACTATATAGATTTAGTAAATACATTAAGGATTTTAATATGCAAAATTATGCTGACTTTGAATTTCCATCAAAGTAAAAAGAATAAATATTAGACAATAAAATGGATGATATCAGTAAATTAGATGAAAGCTATAATAAATACATGACTAGATCGTACATTTTTAAATGCTTATTACGCTTATTGATTTTTAAGATTATGTTTTTATAATCATTTTTAATGTAAAAATAATAAATTAATAAATAGATTTTCTAGTTATAGCATGAATGGATAAGGAGCTGATAATAGAAGAGGAATGTTTTAAAATTTTTAACTAGAAAAATTTTAAAAAGATCAAAGCGATATATCAGCTAATTTTGATTAAGAAAGGTTCGAAGACATAAATGATGATACTAATACATTTAAGAATAAAAAGCCTTCAGTCTTTTAAAGAAATTTATAAAATTTAGATATTAAAGCTACTTCATCTAAAAAGTTTGTGGATAGTTTAATTTTGCCTGCAAATAGCCAAAGAGCTAGTGAAGAGGAGATTTATATGAAAAAAAATATGAATTTTCCTTTCAAATATGCATCATTTGATCAAAAGTAGGGTTAAATCTATGATATCAATTAATCTACTATTGAAAAAGAAAAAGAAGGAAGCTAAAAATACTCACCAACGAATGGTTTAAATAACAACAACAACAATAATAATAACAACTCATCTAGCTCGAATTATCTAGATACCCCTCCTATGATTAAATCATCTGCTAAAGCAAGGAGATCAACTCAAATAGCTTTAAAGATGAAGGTATTTTAAGGTATTCTAACCAAATCTAATTAATTTGATTAGTAGTATGTTTAATCACCTTTAAATTAGGCGTAAAATAGAAAAATTAAAAAAGTTTTATAGAGTTAAATAGTAGGAAATTCTCCTAGTTTTCATAATTGTAATGTATTTAGCTACAATTAAGAAGCTCTATAATAGCAAGGTGTGGAAGAAAAAACTTTTAACTAAGAAGATGAAAGTCATGTAGATTAAAATAAAAAGCAGCATTTGATAATACTCACTTATATGAAACGATTTATAAATTAACTTTTAAAGAGACTATCTTACAATAAAATTGAATTACTTTCAGAATAACAATTTTAGATGATAGGAGACTAATCTTTTCCCCCACAATGTTATAAGAACATTTAAAATGTATTTAATGATAAAAATTCCTATTAAATGAGTCTATTGTCAAAAAGGAGATACCACTTTGAACAAATAAATTATTAAAAGAAGTAAGGATTAAAATAATTTTTGGATTCTTTTTATATACATAGGATAGGTAATTCATAGATTTTTTCATTTTTGTAAAAAATACCTGTTACTGACCCCAGTAGTTAATTTATAATTATATGGGAAGCTTTACTTCTGATAATCATTTTATTTTATTTGATATTTACCCCTCTAAAGACTAGCTTTGAATTTAGCATTGATGAAAATTCTTATCTAAGCTTGTTTGCTTATAAGATACCTCCTTTTATATTTTTACTCGATATATTTATGGGTTTTCAAACAGGTTACTACGAGCTAGGTAGAATAGTTTAAAAAAGGAAATTAATTGCTTTAAGATATTGCAAAAATAAATTCACTACTGATTTCTTAGGTACTTTAATGATGTTCCTAAATGGTTTTGTAGAAAATTCAAACTTTCTTGAAATTTTAATCTTAATCTTTAGAATTACATAAGTAAGTTGTTTAGTTCAATATAAATTAATTTATTTTATCTCTTCATTAAATTTTATTTTGAATCCAAAAAATTAATTGAATAATTTTTAGTTAGTTTTATTTCTAATTAATTTTTATTTATTTGGATTTCTATTTATAATAAAATCAAATCAATCAACTCTTTCTATAATTAATTAAAAATTTTTCCAATCCATTTAATTAAAATTATTATATATACGATTGCAAAATAGTTCTTAAAAAATTATTTTATCATAAACTTATTTTATTTTCTAAATTGAAAAAATTAATTTTAATTTTAAAGTTGTCAAAATATAAATTATATCATAAAAAAAAATATAATTTTTAAAAAATCTTGATTTATTCTAGCTAAAAAAATAATTTATTTTTCTTATTAAACGATAAATAATTTATTCTTATTAAAATATTTTTCCATATAAAAAATATAAAAAAGATGAAGAATAAATTGTCGATGATAAATGATTTTTTTAGGATTTAAAATAAATATCCTGCAGGATATGAAATGCTTAAAATTGCTGCCTTCATTTTGTTTATGTCTCACATGTGGGGATGCCTTTTTCATCTTGTTGGGTAAACAGAAGATGGAAACTCTTATCAAAACACTACTGGAGGTGGAAAATAATATCAAGATAAAAATTGGTTGTAAGATTAAGGGCTTTAAGATGCTGATTGGTATACTAAATATATATTTTCTGTTTATTTCTCTATAATAACAATGGTTACAGTAGGTTTTGGTGATATACATCCTGTAAACATTTATGAAAAAATGTTTGTAATTGGAATGACAATTATATCTTGTGGTATCTTTGCATATTGTGTTAACTCAATAAGCTCAATTTTCTCTTAGCTATCTCAAAAAAATATAATATTTAAATAAAAGCAATATGATCTTCTCAATTATATGAACCAAAAAAATATTAAAATGGAAACCCAAACCAAGATTATGAAATATTTAGAGTATTTGGAATAAGAGTCTGACCAATGCATACCAAAAGGTAATCAATTCATAAAAAATTGCTTTTAAAATTTTACTAATTAATTGTGTTCCTATAAAATAGGAGAAGCTGTTCTATCATAATTTCCATTAGAGCTTAAAGAATAAATTATGAAAGAATACTTCGTTAAAATACTCTAAGATGTACCAATAATAAATGAAAATTTTAGTTTAGCTTTTTTGAGTGCAATCAGTCTAAAAATGAAAGAAAAAATTTTAGGTCCTGGAGAAAAGCTGCTTGTGAAAGACACGAGACAATAGACTCTGTATTTTATAACAAAGGGAAGTATTGAATATTCTATAGATGACGGAGATCATTAAAAGGCTTTATGCTAAATTTAAGTAATACTTTTAAGCAGAATTAAATTTTAATTTTTTATATTTTTTATGTAAATTATTTTTCTTCTAATTTTTATGATTTAAAATATTAGAGTGTCAAAAGTGTTATCGATTTTAGATAATTTATTACTGGATTAAAGCCATAAGTGTCTATCTAAAGTACAACTATGACAAATGTAGCCTACATAAGCTACAACGATTTTATTGAGGAGATAAAAAAATTTTATAAAGATTATGTAAAATAGATTAAATTCGTTCCTTTTATTTTGAAAAAAATTTTATGTATATAGGAAAAATTTTGCTATTTAAGGGATTAATTTTTAAATGATGGTAGATTTGAAAAGCTCTGCCCTTCGTGTAATCATTTTGGTCACGAGATCAACAATTGCCCATAAATTCACTTCAGTGTAAATAGACCAATTTTCAGCTAGAAAGTATTTTACTCAATACCTTAAAATCGCTAATAAAATCCAAGATAAAGATTTATCGATAAGAGAATATCTTGGAGGAATATATATCATGAAGCGAGAAATGACTTAAAATATTTGAGATGGGCTTATGTAATTGAATATCATAATTTGTATAATTAAGTGAATATCGATGAATAAATTAAGATAATTGAAAGTGACAAAACATTCTTTAAAAGATGTCCCAAAATTAAACCTGATATTATCTAGTATATGAAGAACTCTGCTACCACATAAAATGGCTTGGATGTTATTATTGAGGAAAATGAGGGTAGTGATAATACCTAATCTAACAGTGAAGAATCTGATTTCTAAACAGATTATTCAGAAACTTAGGTAAACTAAAAGAATATGAAAACTCTTTAAGATGAAGATGTATAAGATAGTTAATATGCAGATTAAGGAGGTGGATTAGCGATGTAAGTGCAAAACATAAGTATTCATTCTGAAAAATACAATGGAGATAATCCCAGTCTTTCAAATATTATCCCAGATGGTGATATCAATAAAATGGTCAATGATTCTATAAATCAAGGATCAGTTAAAAATAAATCAGAAGCTAGTATAAAAAGGTAAGAATCCCTTAAATCAAATAAAAGAAAACATACTTTAACTGGTGTGGTTTAATAATAAATTTCAAGAACATAAAATAGAAAACTTACTAATGAACTCTAGGATTTCGAAAAAATGAGAAGCCAGACTAGGCACTTAACTAATAGATCAATAGCCTAAATGATAAATAGCAGTCAAGCAATTATAAATGAAAAATCATCTATGCAATAATCTTATATTTCTTATTAATAAGAGTACTAAAACTCAAGTAGTATGAGTAATTCTTTACCTGGAAAAATAATTCCAAATATCAATTAATCATAAAAAGTAAATAATAACTAATAAGAAAGTCTAAGATAACTTGATTAATTAGTAGAAAAATTCAAGAGATAATGCATGAAAATGATGACTAATAATCTAAAAGTTGACTATTTAACTCATGTATCTCAATAAAATAGTAAAGATGAGAATTAATCAAAAATTCTGACATTAAGTAGATAGAGTAAAGCTACTAATAGAGTGAACACTTATAATTCCATTTCAAATACCTAACAATGCAAAAGTATCTAAACAATCAAAAGTTTACAGGAAAATTTAAAAAAAACAAAAATTGATGCAAAAGATGTATAAACAATTCATAATAAAAACTTGTAAAGATATGGCACTTCTCATAACTCTCTTCTGCATATATTTGGTCCTTTGTAGTTTAAATTTGATAAAATTAAAGAATATTAAATTTATTATCCCAAAGGAAACGCATCAAATATAATTAAGGTGTACAAAAAAATCTAGAGTTAAAACAAGACATAAACAAAATTACCTATTCTTAGGCATAGATATTCAGGATAGTCAGATTAATTTATTTAGCATAATCATTAAGAAAAATTCAATTAATTTTCAAAAAAAGCTGCTTCTAAAGCGAGTAAAATGTCTTATATATCTTAAGTGGATGGATATAAAAATATGTTTAACTTTTGATCCTTTTAAATATAGGCCATATCTTTATTACAAATACTTTTCATATTCTTTAAGAAGATTAATAAAAAAATAGAATTTAAATATAAATAATTAATTTTAATGTATTTTAAGCAAATATACATAAAGAGTACAGCTTAAATTTTACAATTTCTGTTTAAAATTTTTATTAAGTTTAATTTTAAATATTGATTGATTATTAATTAAGAAATTAATAAGAATTAATAAAAGCTTCTTCATTTAAAAAAAATCTTAAGAATAATTTAAAATTTATGATCTTTGTGTTTATTCTTTAATTTTAACAATTTTTTAATATATTATTCATGCTATTTGGCAAATTTGTTAGCATATCATATTTTATTTAACATTTTTTAATTCGATTTCAATTTTTCAAGTTAATTCTGATAAAAACATATTTGGTTACTTCATACCCTGTTATAAAGCATCACTTTATTTCGAGAGTATTTTTCATTCATGTAATAACAAAATTAAAACCAGTAAATCTAAAAAATACAAATTAATGACTCTGTTAGTAAATTGCTTTGGGAAATACAGCTTACCATCTATATTTTTCACCTTTTAAAGTATAATAATAAAACTTTTTAAAGTTATTATTGCTAAAAATTGCTGCCATTTACACAAACATCTCATAAATTTACTATTAAAAAGTTAATTAATAATAAAATCTAATATTTTCTATCTTTTTCAAAATAGTTAATAAATTTATTTACAATTTGAATAAAATCATTTTAAATAAAAAATTTTTATCTATTTAAATTTATCAAAATACCCTATCTTGCTTAAAAAATACAATTCAATGAGAACGCCAATTTAAATGAAAAGTAACTAGAAAATTTCAATCAAGTATAATACCCAAAAAATCGTAAGTAAATATCAGAAAATGAAATAAAATTTTACTTAATTCTTAATTAACTAATAAATTAAATAATTCAAAGTAATGTTGTATTAATTTAGATAAAAATAATACTTACAAAACAAATAAAAACAAACACTAAATTTGTATGATTTCTCATATTATTTTTATACTTTTGAAAATCCTCATTTTATCACATTTTGTAAAATGCATTGATCCTAATTGCTAAATTATCTCTCCTAAAGATGGTTCATGCATTTTATGCAATTTAAATTTCTCACTAGATAAATCTCAAGGGCTGTGCATCTCTGATTGTGATAAGAATTTTTTTTTAGAAGCAGATTCTTAATAATGTGTACCATCTTGCAATTATAATGAATATGGCAATTCTGATTTAGGTGTCTGCTAGAAAATTTATGAATGTCCTACGCTTATTGATTTGGGTTAAGATTTCCATTCTGGATTGGCTTCATAAATAATTGTAGATGATATAAATCAAATTATTATTAGTATTAGTAACACAGACACAAATATCAAGTTGTGGAATTAAGTAAATGGAATACTTAAAATGACTTTTTCTGGTCATACCTAACCTGTTTTGAAGATTTATTTGCTTTAGGACTCTAATTAGCTGCTGTCTTTTTCCTCTAAAGGTGAAATATTGTATTGGAATTACTCAACTGGAGAATTGAATCAATCTTATATCTTAAACTTAGGATAGCTAACTTTTTTAAGCTGTGTGAACTTAAACTATGGCTTGATAACTCTTTATGGATACCAAGGAGAGTTTTATGTTTATAACTTATAAACTAAAGCTTCTAAAAAGTATGTAGGACATTCGAATATTGTTTTAAATTCAATAATTATAAGCTCAACTAGCTTTATCACCTACTCTTTAGATAAATCAGTCATATTGTGGAATGAGTCTACTTCTACTTACAGTTTTTAAATAATTTGTATTCACGATTCGGCCCCAAATGGTTTTATTTTATTAAATTTTAGCTCAAATGTTGGATTAGAGAGTTATCTTTTTTCATTTGGAAGCTCAGGTAGTGATTCACTTAATCTTTCAATTTCAAATTTACAATCTACCTCTATTTAATGCTAATAGTATTTGAAAGGTGATTTTACTTAGCCAATATTAAATGTTTTAGGAGATTCAAGCTCCAAATCTATTATAGTATATTCTTCTGTAGAAGTAGTGATTTATGGATTTAATTCTGTAACAAGCAATTTTATTTTATTGCAAAAAATAAATGAGCAATTCTTTAATTAATAGCTCTTTTTACCTCTTTAAGGATTAACTATTTTTGGTAATAGTATTTTTTTATACACTAAATATGGGAAATTTTCATTAACAAGCTATATTAACAATAAAAATACCATTTAGTCTTAATAATTAATTTAGACTTTAAGTTTTATTCCTATTTAGATAAACATGTAAAATATTTAGGGAGCTATAATTAATTAATAAAAGGATCATTTATATATTTTTGGATAATCTATTCAGTAAATTGATTTAATAAGCTAAAGAGTCAACTATATTATAACTAATTTACCTATACCTTATATTAGGCCAACTTAATCTGTTCCATAAACAGTATATAACAATACATAGAATGTGTTAGTAAGTACATCAAATGATGGTTTGTCTTTAAGCTATGATTTTTTAACAGGTGAGCTTTTATCCATATTTTAACATCCTGACTATAAAGGAAGCTTAATATAACCTCAAGGATAAACTCTCTCCCTAGTTTAAGGTGTTATTGTATGTGTCGCGTACAGTGATTTATCATTTATATGCTATCATGCTATTAATATGATTTTATACTTTAAGTAAATCTTCTTTTAGCCAATTTTAAGATTATTTAATGACGACGTAAATGGATACGTTTTAATAAATAGCTTAGATTATTTATAAATAATAGACCCTTTCAATTCTAAAATTATAAAAACTATAAATAAGACAGGTTAGTTTTATTATATTTTGCTAGGAGCTAACATTATATGTGTAACTGTTTCATAAGATGGGTATATTATTAAATATAATTACCCATAATTAACAATACAATAATAAGCAGATTCTTCTAATATTAATTAAAAAAAACAAACTGTAGTTGGATTTGTTTTTGATAATGAATCTCAGTACACATTATTTTATTTTTTAAACGGGCTAGCGATTTATTATGATGAATAATATAATGTAGTGTTATATTCAGATGATAATATTTTGATCAGTAGAGTAAATTATTTCTATAAATTAAAAATATTTTGCTATTAATTATTTCATAAAAAGTTAAAGCTTTATTTAAAAATCCCTTTTTTAGTAAAATTTTTTAAAAATAAACAAATAATCAAAAAAATTTTTAAATTATAAATTATTTTTTTTATCAATAGTGTGGAATAGTTTAAGATGGATAAGTTTAGTTATATTATACTTGCCTATGCAAAGATGGAACAGTAATTTATCATGGAATTATAAATTAGGAATTTTACTTAAAAATATAAGCACTCTCTTTTCCTATTCTATATGCTGATGAAATAGTTTAATATAATAAGGCTTTATTTAATGTAGATTTTGGGTCATATGGAGGATCATTGATACTTGCAGATAGTCTTGCATTTTTGGCATAATCTAAATTTGATTCTTAATCAAAAATTAATTCATTTACCATAGATGTTTAAAATTAAAGAGTATTTATATGTAATACAGTTGGAGATATAATGGCTAGTCATTTTACTCCAAACACTTACTACTATCTTTAAAGAAGTGAGAATTCTATTTTATAGAAATTATTATTGATCTAATCTCTGCAAAAACTTGTTTCATTGTCTAATGTAATTACTATTTATGATTATTTTAGCTAGACCATCTACAAGTAATTTAGATTTAAAATTAATTAACTTCTTAGTTTTACATTTATATAATTAATTAGGCTGAATGACAGGGTTCACAAGTAGAGTATTATTAATGCACTAATAATAGAGAGCATTTAAATAATAATTTCTTATAATTATGATGTATCAGATAATCTCTAAATATGGAATTTCAACACAGATTAAAGTCAATCACTTGTTGGGCACTAAAAAGGAATAAATGGTGTGCAATTTATAGAATAATAAAATATAATTATATCTTATGACAAAGCAGGTTAAATAATTGTATGGAATTACAATTCAGATTTATTAAAGATTAAGATTTATTAAAGAATATCTTAGAATTATAATAACGAAATCCTAAATTTATTTTTATTTACAAAATATTAAAATTTATTTATTTCGTTAGATATTGTTGGAAATGTATTTATGTCCAACTTTTTAGATGGGAGTATTGTGAAGGCTATCAAAGTTTCAAATATGAGTGCCATGATTATAGATGAGTTATACGATAGAATAATTTTATATGGGAGAAGCATTGAAGTTTACAGTGCAACAACAGGAGTTAAGATGTAGGAAATAATTGGTTTTGATAATTAAGTTTAGCAAATCATATTTAAGAATAATTATATAATAGCATATGGAACTCTTGTTATTTAATCAATAGATCGTCTTACTCTAGCTGTACTATACACGAGTTAATTTAAAAAAAATATATATTCGTTGACTGTATTAAATAATTTCGTTGGTATGGTAGGAAATAATATTGATTTTTCTATCGAAGTTTGGGATTACACTACAGGAGTTATGCTTTCAGAAATAAAAAATAAATCATATCCTTAAAACTTAGTAAGTATATTTAGCGATGAGTAATCTTAACTATTTATTGTATAGAATGTTGAAAGGTTTTTATTTACAGTTACTCCTTACTCTAATTCTATTGTTTAGTAAAAAGACTTATTATTTGCTAAAATGACTTCTTCGTATATAAAAAGCTATATTTTTGATTTTTATAGCAACATATTAATCTTGTGTAATGATGATACAATAATAGCGTGGTAATATTATGCATATGTAGGCTTCTAAGGCTAAGCTGTTATGATTCCTTCTGAATCATTGATAATGTCTACTTATCATTCAAAATTAGGTAATTTAAAGCAAATAATAATTTAATAAATAATTAATGATATAATATTAAAGTTTAATTGCACTAATAAATATATTTTATTTAAATAAATTAGATGTGATAACTTATGCTGATTTAAATTAAAATCTTTGGTAAGTTAACTAAAATCTTCTCTACTACAAATATCAGTTATAGTATTAGCCAAAGTAGATAGTATTGCACACAAATACTTATTTAGTAACGGATGGAATAAATTTATACAGCTATGACCTCGATTTTAAATTAGCTTATTAATTATAAATATACCCTTTTAGTATTTATGTAGATGAGAGTATTACATTTATTTTTGTATAGACTTATAGTTATCAAATAGTATAACTATTATTAAATACAAGCAACTCCTAACTAACACTAGTTAATGTTTACAAAAATCATATAAGTAGAATAGTCAATTGCATCATAAATACAATATATTCTCATATAATCACGTTTGATGTTACAGGATATTTAGCTATAAATAATTACAATACTTTAAAACCTATTACTGTTCCTTAATAAAATTAGCAAATCATTAGAGATATACAAATTGACTTTGTTTTCAAAAGGTATTAATCATTTATTTGATTATATATTTAAATTTAAAGAATATTAAACATTAATTTCAAAAAGTTTTTTTTTTTTTTTGAATTTAATTTTTTAGTTTAAATTTCAAATAATTTTACATATTTAAAGATTGATAACGTGTTCTCAAGACTAGTCTTCCATTTTATTTTCTTATAGTTATGATGTTCCTCTGAAGGTTTTAAATGTCCTTATATACTCCTCTTCAGTTATTTAAGCAGTGATTGATACTGAGAGACTTTAAGTATTAATTTGGATTGATTTATAACTAGCCATTCAAGTAAGAGATCTTGATTCTACTAATTTAGAATTAATTAAATACATTTATGGACCTGGAGATTACAAAACCTAAATCAAATTAAGTAAAGAGTGGAGTATATTAGCAATTTTTAACTAATTTTAAGTAAATCTTCATGACAGAAATGCAAATGATGCAATAATAAATTCTCTAAGGATGCCATCTTAGATATATAATATAACAGATCTCTAATTTATTTCTGATTCTCTGTTGCTCATAAGATCAAAGTCCTAGCTTAACTTAGTATAGTTTTCATATACTTCAATATCCATTTAAAAATCCTTCTCCATGTTATTTCCTACTTTATTATCCTTAAGTTATATTAACTAGGAAGCCATTAATATCAAAGGAATTAATTTATTTACAGTATTTAATTACACTTTTCCATTCTCTTGTGATTCAGGATATAAGAATTATACTATATGCTATTCGAAACTTTAAAGAACACAATCTTATTTTTAACTTAGTTAGGATCTTTCAACCTAAAGCAATTCGTTTTAAAAAGTTTCTTAATTAATAAATAGCATTGTTTTGAATATTGAATTAGATGATGAACAACCATTTTTCTTTATTTAAAAAAAAATAAGCTTTAGTAATACAACTAGTTAATAATAAATGTATATTTATGATAAAAAGTAGCAGTCACATTAAGAGAGAATTAACTTGTAAATATCCTCATTTGAATAGTTCAATCTGCCAACTTTAACTATTAAAAATTTTAATTGGAAGATACAAAATCAAACAATTTATAATTTCAATAAAAACACTCAAAATTTAATTTTTATTAATTCAACTTTCTAAGATAATATTATTGGCAGTTAATTTGTAATAGAATCTATAAATTACTTAATGATCGATAATATGGAAATAAAAAATTTAAACATAAATAGATAAGTATAGAATAAATTTAGAAATCTAATATCTAATGAAAACCTGAATTATAGTTTATTCTAGATAACAAATAGTAGCTTAGTATATGTTAAATGTCTTAGTCTCCAAAATTTGGTTATGGAAAATTCTATTTCTTTATTCTAGATTTCAGAGGTAAGATAATTAATTATTTAGAATTTAACGATATAAAATGTAACCTATTACTCGTAAAATTTTCAGCAAAGTATTTGGAGTATAATATTTTCAATATAAAACAGTTAGAATATTTAAATAAACTCAGTTTTTATTTAAAATTGTAAAATAAATACATAAAATAATAAATTTACTTTTGAGGAGTAGGACTTATCTAAATTAATTATTTTTTCAATGTAAGCCAACAAAAATATATTTTCAACAAATTTAACTGCATAAAATAACAATAATATAATGATTTATGATATTTCTCAGACATATCTAAACGAAGATTAAGGCTATATTTAAGTTGTTAATGATACTGTCAATTTTTAACAAATAGTAATCAAAGAATGTTAAAGTGTACTAGGATAAGCTTTAAATAAAATATAAACTAGCTATTTTGAACTTAGTCAATCATCTTTCATTAACAATACCTGCTTGAATTCTTATGGTTGTGCTTATGACATTTCAGAAACTAAATTTTCATTTACAAAATGCATTTTCTTGTATTAATAATCATAATATGGTGGAGCAATTAGCGTAAGAAACAGTCCTTTTAAAAGTATGATTTAAGAGTCAAATTTTTAATTTAATGCTGCAAGTTAAGGAGGATCTATCTATTTGCAGGAATCAAATCTTGAATTAATCAGCACAATAATTACTTAAAATGTAGCAGAAGTAGGTGGAGCTATAAGATATGTAGGTTTTGTGCCAGATTTTATAACTAAAAAGCAGTATCTAAGTAACAATTTAAGCAAAAACAATATTGTAAAAAATCAAGCAAAAATATTTGGTTAAAATATTGGTTCATACCCAAGGCAAATAGAAATTGAAAGAACGGATTAAGAAATAGATTTCAATCTTATTTAATGTAAAATTTTAAACATTATAGCTATTAAAAATTTTAAATTATTTATTTTAATTTTTGTTAATTATCAAAATTTTCTATATTTTTTTAATATCATTTAAATTATAGAAATTTAGGGTGAGACAGTGTATTAGATAGATAATTTTATGAGTGGAGGTAATTTAAATTTCAAAATAAAAGTATACGACGAAGAAAATAACATAGTTAATCTAAATTCATTAGAAGAAAGTAGTAAGGAGCTTTAAAGTGAGTTATAATAATATTAATTAGAATGTATTTCTTTAAATTCTTAAATGATGTTAATAAATGGTAATAAAGCAATTTACAACTCATTAGACAATTCATTTACATTTTAAAACATTTAGCTTATATCAACTCCTGAGACTTAATCTGTATTTTATATTTAAAATAATATAATTTAAATTCCCAATCCTTAAAACACAACATAATTTTAATTAAAACCATTGTATATTAAATTAAACGTGAACTTTCGTTAATGTGAAATGGGTGAAATCATAATCAAGAGGTATATTTAATTATAAATAAAATTAAATATTTTTTATTTCATATAACAAATAATATAGTACATAAAATAATCCTTCATATTGTGAAAAATGTCCAATACAAAAATACTCTTTGGTAACTCCTAATATTAACTCTTAAAATGAGTAACTCTGTAAACTTTGTCCAGATTCTTGCTCTTATTGTTAAGGCAAAACTCTTACTCTAAAGAATGGCTACTGGAGGGAAAATAATTATACAGATGTTATTGTAAGTTGTGTAAATAATCCAGATAACTGTCTAGGTCAAAGCGCAGAAACCATTTAATATTGTAAGAAGGGATATATAGGCCCACTTTGTGAAACTTGTGATTTTTATGGCAAAATTTGGCAATAAAAATATATGAACAAGGAAAAATTTGAGTGCATCCCATGCTAAGATTCATATAGTTAATTATATACATATCTGTCTTCAGTAATCATAGGATGTTTATACATTTTATTTTGTGTTAGGGCAGCTCGTTAAATGATTTTGATTAAGATATAAAGCTACTACTTAAGAATGATTGGGTTAGCAAGTATAGGAAATAGTGAATAATCAGATAAATCTGACATATACTTAAAATTTTATATGCACTTTATTTAAGTTAGTTCAATAGCTTTTTAGATATATTAACCCTAGTTTTTGAAAATAATCTAGGTTAGTGTAGGCTCACCGATTAATTTTTTAAAATTTTCTATAGACTGTAGAAGCATCTTTACTTAAGAACTTTTACCTCATGCATATGGTAGAATTATCTGGTCATAAATATTATCAATAAGCTATTTTTTCTTTTTGGTCACTATATATTATCTCTTATTTTTGATTAAGTTTTTTAAGAAATTTGAAAAGAACTTAATCATCACAGTAGCAATATTTATCTATTTATATTTGTAACCGAGCATAATCTCTGAATTGGTACAAATCATATCTTGTAGAGATATTGGAGGAACTAAGTATCTGACTGCAGATGTAACTTTGAAATGTTATACAATGCAATACTATTTATATTTCTTGTTATTATTTTTGCCTCTTTTTTTAATATGGGCAATATTACTTCCACTAATAGGGATTATTGTATTAAAGAAGAAAGTTAAAATTCTTGATTATTGCTCTGTAAGGTTATCTTATGGTTTGCTATATTCAGAATATAGGAAAGAAAAATATTATTGGGAGTTTGTGAAAATAAATCTTAAATTAATAATCATTTTTATCTGCAACTTTTACAACCAACAAATCTAGTACAAAAATACTATTTGTACTTTTGTACTTTTTTGCTATTTGATGCTTTAAATCTCTAATGCTCCCTACATAAATGTTAATTTTAATCGTACTGATTAGTTTTTATGTATAACGCTGATTATCTGTCTTTAATTGAATCTACTTGTAAATAAATCTGAAAATGATATTCAGTTATAGATATGCTCATTTTTGCTTTATGGGATTTATTACTTATTTTCAAGCTTTCTGATAATATAAATTCTCATTGTTAAAATAAAAAAAGTTATTTTTTTAATAGGAGAAAAATATCCATCAGTAAAATCTAATTTCAGTTATATATTTGAAAGGTTAGGAATAAAATCTAAGAATAAAATGAATACATTTAAAAATTGGGCAAAATTGATTAGATTGCTTTCAATTTACTTTTATGAAAGGAATTTAATTAAATCTAAATAGAATTCGGAACAGTTTACAAATTTAAATAAATATTTTAATAAACACTCAAGTAAAATATACTAAAATTCAAGTCCTATAATCTAGTCAGGAATATTAAATATCTAGTTAACACCTTAAAAATAACCAAAAAAATAGGTGATTAAACTTAGATGTAAGTTAATTTTTATTAATTTTATTTGGTATAATGTTTTTTTATATAAAAGTAATGTCGTAAAACTATGAAGATAAGAAAAAAGATGACAGTTAATATACTTCTAGTATTACAGACTAAGAAGCATCAGCTACTTACATAAATGGTAAAATATTATTAACAATTTTATGTCTTAAAAATTGAAACATATATAAAAAGCAAACAATCCTAGATAAGAAGAGAGTGCTTAACAAATATTTTCATAAAGAATTAAAAAGAAATATATTAGAAATAACGAAATAAACTAAATTTACTTTTTTAAAACAAATTAAAATAAATAATAAATATTTAATTAAGAAATTTTAGATGATGTCAAATAATGACTATTTGTTAAATTACTTTTATAATAATTTAAAAATATATTTGATAATAATTTGAATAGGTTTTATAATTATGTAAATTACAGAAAAATATTAATCCTCAAAATTATAAGTTTAAGCCAATAAATAGATATAAAATAATACTATTGATTAAATGAATAAATATTTTAATCCAAAAGCTTAAAAATGTAATTTTATATTTTCATATTTTCTCTACCTTTGAAGAATAATTAAAGTTTTAAATACAAATTTTTAATTTAAATTTTAAAAAGAAATAATTTTAATTTTTCTAAGTTAAATAAAATTTTATTTATATTTTGCTCTAAATAAATTTTTCTTAAATAAAATCGTAATGAATATGCTTTTAATTATACAAAAATTAATATTAATTCTAAAGAATTATTTAAATTTGGAGGGTTTTGTATTTAGAAAAGATAACTTAGAATGTGTTATAATACAAATACAACCTTCCTTTAAATAGAGGACATATCAACTTAATATAATTTATTAAAGCGCTTAATAAAACTAGCAAGTAAATCAAAATTTTATTTGATTTGCAGAATGATTACAAATTTCTTTATTTGAGAAACCAAAATAATTCATTAATAATATACTTACATATCAAAGGATTAATATAATCAAAAATTTCAGAACAGAAAGCTTTTAATTATTTAAGAATAAATTATTTAAATTATGATTTTTCTGTTTATGAAAATAAAGGAATTAAATTAAAAAATAGAACAGTAAAGTATGGATGGTAAAATAAATTTTGGAAAAATGTAAATTAAAAAAAATAATGAAAAGAAAAATATTTCAGCTTTCAACATAATTAAAATAGATTATTATACTCACATAATAACTAAAAATCCATTTTGATGATTGATAGATATACATATTTCCTTATTAAAATTAAATAAAAGGAATTGAAACAATATTTTTAATTTTAACTATTTGATAAATTACTATCATTAATTATGATAGGATTAATAAGGCTAACTGAGGATTAATTAATATGAATAATCCATCAATTTTAAAAATTATTTAATAAATATTTTTAGTTGGGAGTATATCAAGCAAATCAAATTTTTTTGGTAACTATTCTAAAAAAAATTATTTTTAAATGTAAGTATTTACTATTTTAAAATTAACTTAAAATTTTTATTATTTCTTAATAATTTTATTGTTTACATTTTTTAATTAATCCTTATCCTGTTTTTATTTTTAAAAAGAATGTATTTTATTTGAAAGACACATAAATAAAAAGAACTAAAGAATAAATATAATATAACAAATAGCTTACAATTTAACAAATGGCGTTTTCCATAAATTTATCAATTATTTATCTTAAAATTAGAAATAAAATATAGATTACTTTCCGTTTGAAATGAAAGTTAAATTAAAGTTTTAAAAGTATACTTGCTCTATCAAAAATATATAAATCTTAATTAATTAATGAAAAGGAAAACAGAGCAGATAAATAAATACCAAAGTTAAATGAATTATCGAATTTTATTAAACTTATTATAAATCTTTTTGTTATCACATTTTATTAAAGGCACAGACCTTTTTTGTAAAAATGTCTCACCTAATGATGGCTCATGTATCTAATGTAATCAAAATTTCAGACTAAATCAATCCAATGGATTATGTATTTCTGATTGTGATTAGAATTTATATTTAGAAAATGATTCCTAATAATGTGTACCATCTTGCAAATAAAATGAATTTGGCTATCCTGATCAAGGCGTTTGTTAACAAATATATCAATGCCCTATTCTTGTTGATTTAGGCTAAGATTTCCATTCTGGATTAGCTTCATAAATAATAGTAGATGACACAAATTAAATCATTATTAGTATTAGCAATACAGACACAAATATCAAGTTGTGGAATTCAGTAAATGGAATTCTTAAAACCACTTTTTCTGGTCACACCTAGCCTATTTTGAAGATCTATCTACTTCAAGATTCTAATGAGCTTCTATCTTTTTCCTCAAATGGTGAAATATTCTATTGGAATTATTCTACTGGAGTTTTGAATAAGTAGTAAATTGTTAATTTTGGATAGCTAACAAATCTGAGTTGTGTTAATATGGCGTATGGCTTGATAACTTTGTATGGATATTAAGGAGAGTTTTACATCTACAATATGTAAAATAAAACATATAAAAAGTATGTAGGACATACAAATATTGTTTTAAATTCAATAATAATTAGCCCATCTAATTTTATCACATATTCTTTAGATAAAACAATCATATTGTGGAGTGAATCTACTTCTACTTACAATTTTTAAATAACATGCCTACATGATTCTATACCAGCTGGTTTTACTCTACTAAATTTTAGCTCAAGTTCTGGGTATCAAAGTTATCTTTTTTCATTTGGAAGCTCAGGTAGTGATTCACTGGATCTCTCTATTTCGAATTTACAATCTACCTCTACTTACTGCAAATAATATTTTTAAGGAGATTTTACCTAGCCAATATTAAATGTTATAAGTGATTCAAGTTCTTAATCAGTGATAGTATATTCTTCTGCAGAAGTTGTAATTTATGGATTTAATTCAAATACAAACGATTTCATTTAATTACAAAAAATAAACGAATAGTTTTTTAATTAGAAACTATTTTCCCCACTATAAGGCATATTTATTTATGAAAACAGTATTGTTTTATACACTTAATTTGGGAAATTTTCTATGTCTAGCTATATTAATAACCAGAGTACTATTTAGTCATAATAAATAATTTAGACTTAAAATTTTACTCCTATTTAAATTAATATGCACAACATATAAGGAGTCGTTATTGATGAATAAAGTAATTAGATTTATATATTTGGACCTTCTATTCAATAAATTAACTTAAAAAGTCAAAGCATTAACTACATAATAACCAATTTACCTATTCCATTTATTCGCTAAACTTAGTCTGTACCTAAGACAGTCTATGAATACTCTCAGAATATCTTTGCAAGCACATCTTCAGATGGTTTGTCATTAAGCTATGATTTTTTAACTGGCTAATTATTATCCATATTTTAGCATCCTGATTATAAACTAAGCATAAAATAGCCATAAGGGATAACTTTATGCTTAGTAAAAGGTTTATTGCTATGTGTTGCATATAATGATTAATCTATTGTTTGCTATCATGCCATTAATATGATTGTTTACTTTAAATAAATTTTCTATGAAAAAATATTAAGGTTATACAATGATGACATTAATGGATTTGTTTTAATTAATAGTTTAAATTACTTATAAATAATAGACCCTTTCAATTCTAAGATAATTAATACTATAAATAATCCAGGTTAGTTTTATTATATTAACTTATATTCTAATTTTAATTGCCCTACTGTATCAGAGAGCGGATATATTATTAGATATAATTACCCTGAATTAACAATAAAATTATAAACTGACTCTTCTAGTATTAACAAAAACTAAGATAAGATTGTAGGATTTGCTTTTGGAGTAAGCGAAGAAGGTTACTCAGTATTTTATTTCCAAAAAGGATTAGCTATATTATATGATGAATAGCTAAATGTAATACAAAGTTCTAACGATAATGTTCATATCAACAGGGTAAAAAAAATAAATATATTAAATTAAATAAAATAAAAAAAATGGTTTAAAAATTTTTTATTTAGCTAGAAATAATTTTTAAAAATATGATCCCCTAATTAATAACAAATACTAGGTATCATATGTTTAAACATATAAATCCACCATATTTTTTATTTTTTATGATTGCTCACTCTTTATTATCTAAATAATTTAGATAAAGTTTTTAATTTGTTCTTTTTTTCAAATTTTTGGATTAAGTGGCTAAAATTTTTTCTTATATATATAACATTTTAAAGATTTTTTACAATCCATACTAATTTATTTTATAAAAATAGTGTGGTATAGTATAAGAAGGAAATATTTACTTATATTACAGTTGCTTGAATTAAGATGGAACTATAATTACTCATGGAATTGTTTAGCCTTTTTATTCTAAAATTTAAGTTATCTAATTTCCTATAACATCTTGTGAAGTTATTCCCTAATACAATAAAGCTATATTTACCATTGACGTAGGTTCATATGGAGGATCATTAATATTTGCAGATTCCATAACATAGCTAGGTTAGTCTTAATTTGGTTCCAGATCTGCAATTAATGCATTCGATATCGATTAATATAATTAAAGGGTATTTATCTCAAATACAGTAGGAGATATCATGGTTAGTCACTTTACTCCAAACACTTATTATTACATATAAAGAAGCGAAAACTCTGTTTTATAGAAGCTGCTATTAATTAAATCTTAATAAAAGCTTGTTTCGTTGTCTAATATAATTACTATTTATGATTACTTCAGCTAGACAGTATACAAGTAATTTAGATTTCAAGATTATTTACTTATTAGGATTTATTTAATTTAATTAGGTAAAATACCAGAGTTCATAAGTAAAGTATAGTTAGTGCTCTAATAATAGAGGATATTCAATTAATTATTTCTTATAATTATGATATTTCAAATAATCTCTAGGCATGGAATTACAATACAGATTAAAGTCAATCACTTGTTGGACATTCAAATGGAATAAATGGTGTGTAATTTATATAATAGTAAAATAGTATTTTATCTTATGACAAAGCAGGATAGATTATTATTTGGAGCTACAATCCAGATTTATCGAAGATTAAGATTCTACAAAACCTTTCTTAAAACTAAAATAATGAAATCACTAATTTATTTTTATTTACAAAATATACAAATCTATTTATTTCATTAGATATTGTTGGAAATGTTTTTATGACCAACTTTTTAAATGGAAGTATTGTGAAAGCTTTCAAAGTTTCGAATATGAATGCCATGATTATTGATGAATTATACGATAGAATATTTTTATATGGAAGCAGTATTGAAGTTTATAGTGCAATAACAGGGGTTAAGATGTAAGAAATAATTGGTTTTGATAATTAAGTTTAATAAGTAATATTTAAGA